TTTTCTTAAATAATTTATGCAATGATTTTACTGATATCCATTATAATTAATATTTGTCGAGTAATATTTTTTAACCTTTATTTAATTATATAAAACTATTATTTTTAAAAAAAAATTAATATTATTTATCATTTAAAAGATAATGATCACATCATTACATGATTTTATTGATGGGTAGATAATAAAATTATATTAGTTAATTTTATAAAATTTCGACATGTTATTTATTTGTATATTATTGTCAACTATGATAGTGTTTTTATCACTTTGTTATGTTTATAAAATGAACTTATTGTAAAATATTTTTCTATTGCATAGTTTTTTAAATAAACTATAAAGCCTTAGGATGAAAATTAGAAAAAATATCTTATTTTTGGTAATTGCTAAATTATTTTTTGAAAAAAAAAAAAGAATTATTATGAGAAAATTGAATTCTAAAAAACATGTGTGTGTATTTTGTGAACATTTATACTCAAAATTTTATTTTGAATTTCATTACATAAAGAAGACTATTTCAATAACTTTTATAAATAATAAATTATTAATAACAATCACATTATATGACTATAAATTTTATATAAAAATAATAATTGAGTATTATATGGTGAACAAGAATAAATAAAAATAATATTTTTCTTATATCAATGAATAAATATGTATTCTAAAATCAAATAAATATTAGTATGACGTGTTAGTAGAATTATATATTAATTAACATGTTAATTTTTTGGCTTAAATAAACGCCACTTATTAAAAGATGTGAAATATGGATGATCCAAGCCTAATGTTTTTTGTCTAGACGTACAAGTCCTATAGAAATAATTGATTTATTATATGTATCACGTGCATCGCACGGGATATGCACTAGTAGTAATTTTATGGAGCAATCGAATGAGTCCTTTATAGAGTCATCCATAAAATTTTATGTACTGACACATTTGCATTTATTGCAGGACACGTGTCAATACATTATTTGTGAATAACAATGAATGACTCTATAAGTCGAGCCATCCGTTGGTTCTAAAGCAAAACCGATAAATTAAATGGCGAATGATAAATGTGTAAATTAGAGCACAAAATAGATTTGTTTTACCTTGATTTCTCAGTCGTAATGTTACTTGTTAAATTATTTTATTTTACATTCCTAAATTGCTACCAAATAACCAAGTACATTGTGTGACTATTAGCAATCATAATATTTTAATACACAAATTATTATATGAGACGGTAACAAATTTGGTAGGAACATGAGAAGATGCTAAGCGGATAAACCCATTCTACTTTTTTCCAACAGAAATATATATCAATGTTCTGAAAATATGTATATACTATTAAAAGAAATTTACGTAATCGTCATACTTGTATAGAGCTGCAAACAAGCAGAAGCAAATTGAGTCGAACATTACTTGATTGAGTCATGAATCATGATGCTCGAGCTCGACGAGCCTGACTTCCTCGTGGCTCGGCTCAGCTCGGCTCGGCTCGACTCGACTTGATAATAAAAACACACACTCGAGTCCGACTCAAAAATTTCAATTAAAAAATGTTTTGTGAGAGGTATTCGAGTAATTTTATGTACATTCGAGCAGCTCGTCGAGCATCAGTACGTGCTTAAATTATAAGTCGAGCACGAGTCCAACATTGACTTGAGCGCTCGAAAATTCCCAATAAATTACAAAATTATATTTAGCTAATGGGCCGGGCCCCAATAAATTCCCAATAAACGCGTTCACAAAACTGACTCTAAAAACACTCGTCTCTTTCCCTAATTCTCTCTCCCGACATTCACCGTATTTCC